TTTATAGTAGACTTCATAAGTTTGGGTAAATCCCTTAGCCCCCAACCTAGCCTTATGCCACTCAATAGACCAATCACTATTATACTTGATTTTATAAATCCATCTGCATTTAACTATTATATTTCCTTTAGGTAGCTTGACAACGCCCCAAGTATAATTCTTGTTAAGTGCTTGAAGTTCTTCCTTCATGGCCTTCCTCCACATAGGTTGAAAAATAACATTTTGAAAATTGATTGGCTCAAAATTATTAGAAATAGAGAGCTCAGAAAAGCAAAATAGCCACAAGAGATATTTTCATAGGAGATATAATTTTGAACAGGATAAAAAACTGCATGGTAAATATAAAAATCATGAAGTCTAGATGAAGGTTAAGAGATACGAGAATATCTCGGCAAGGGGATCAAGTGGGGCCACGGCCACGATGGAGTCTTCTTCTTCCAAACCAGTTTAGTTAGTTTCAGAGGGATCTTCAATTTTGGCTTGATCATCATGACTTGTTTTGGGCATGTTGGACACATCACTGATACTAATATTATGCAAGGTAAACGACATCTTGAACACTCTTCCTGAGTCCTATTTTCCAAACCACTCTTCAATGTATCATGAAAATAGGGTTCTATTTCAACAAATTGAACATCTCTAGAAATATGCATTTTTCTAATTGTGGGATCATAACATTTGTATCACTTTGAGTTGAGGAGTATCCAAGAAGGATACATCTACTGGAACGTTAATCAAGTTTATCCCAGTTATGCCCAGCCACATGAACATAAGATACACATCCAAATACTAGTAACTGTGACAAATCAATTTTCTATTTTTCAAAATTTCAATGGGAGATTTATCCATAAGAATTTTCTTTAGAAGACTGTTAATCAAATAATATGCAGTTAAAACAACTTCAGACCAATAAACATTTAGAACATCAAAGACCTTATAACTTTTAAAAAGTGTCTATTTTCCGTTTCAACAACTTCATTCTATTGAGACGTAGAAAATGAGAATGGGTTGGGGCCCCAACGATATTATTACTGAGCCCATGGTGAGGTCACTAAGTCCATTCTCAGCAAAAGGTAGGGGTCCAAATCTCCACTGACTTTACCACTTATTTGTTCTTTGGGAAAGGGGCTAGAATTGTGGTGGTAGCACCCCACATCCGGGTCACTACGTTGTGGTTTCCTTTCCCACCACTAACACCTCCCAACTAATACCCTTCAAAAAAAGCTAATTTATAATCTACTTGAAAAAATGGGTAGGGGCATGTCTTCCCCACCGAATTACCCAAAAAAAAAAAAAACTTTATTCTGTTGAGGTTATCCAACACACGATATTTGGTGTATAATACCAAGATTCAAGAAATGTTCATAAAAAGCTTATGCCATTAACAGTTTGCATAATGCTAATCTTGTCATTGTATTGAGTGGAAATCAGTTTGGAAAATTTTTTGAACATAGAGAAAACTTCTATTTTTTATTTCAATAAATATACCAAAGTAGCATGAGATCAATCATCAACAAAAGTAACAAAATATTTAAAGCCGGCATACAAATCAACTGGGGTTGATCCCTACACATTTGAATGTATCAAATAAAAGGGGTCCTTTGAAACATGCATAGAACACTGAAAGGAACTCTTGTCTGTTTTGAGAATTTACAGACTTCACAAGAGTGAAAGTTTAAATATAGAAAGGGCATTAAAATTTTTAAAACTTGATCTGAAGGGTGTCCAAATCTCGAATACCATAATTTATTAATATTAAAAAAAATTTGACTGACAACTAAAGCCTCATTTCCTGATTAAATAAATATAGCTCATGTGACATTCTTCCTTCACCAATCTTCCTCCCCATGGCCTGGTCTTGGGAAGTCACAGAGTTGGGAGAAAAAATAACATTGCAATTCATGTTCTGAGTAATTCTACTAACAAACATCAAGTTAGAGGAAAATGATGACATAAATAGAACTTTAGAGTTGTGAGACTTGGAGAAGAAACTGGTTTTACCAACACCTGATTAGCAATAGATAAATGGTTCATATTTTTATTTATTTATAGGTTGGATAAACATTGTAAGTTACCAGTCATATGATAAGTGGCTCCTGAGTTTATTATCCAAAAAAAAGTATCACAGAAAGACTTGGAAGCATAAAGGTTATCAGTATCCGAGATTGAAGAAGAATGATCCTATGTAGCAAAAGAACCATTGTTGTTACTTTGCTGATAATGACCACAGTTACCGTGATGGGCTTGAGTGATTGGAGTTTGAGCGGTAGATTTGTCTCCTTTCTTATTACCACTATTTTGAGGCATTTTGGTTTCATATTTATCATTATTAGCAACCAAACAATGTTTCTCAACACTTTCTTCAGAGGTTCTAAAATCAATATTCATGATTTTCTTCCTAGTTATGTGTCTAAGTTTAAAATTTTCAAAGAGAGAATCAGTAACAACTTTCAACCAAAGAAAATTAATTCTATTCAAAAGAATAATGGTAACTTTCAGGCTAGAATTAAGTTGTGAATCTACCAGTACGAGGAGATAAAAAAAAATTGGAAGACTTACCTGATGATGCCTCAATCGGAATTTTACCGTCGATCTTGGGAGGCCAAAATGTTGCAATTACCTCTGGGCACTCCTTCCACGGCAACGCTACACCAAAGCCCTCACTAAAATTCAAAGATCAGAACTTCAAAAATTGAGGCGAAGCCCATGGAGGGCATGCGGGCGCTGAATCGTATTAAAACCACAAGATGCAAGATGCAACGAAACGTTGATGGTATGAGGCTCAACAATTTATAAAATCAGCAAGGTGGAACCAACGAGGCTATTGAGGGTAAGAAAGGGCTAGGAATTTCTTTGTAAGAACCAGCTCATAACCGTTGACCCCCAAGGGGAAACCCTCTACGATCGAGAACAATCATCCAATGTTCAATTCCCCGCACTCACGAGAGAGGGGCAACCAAAGGTGAGCAATAATTCAGCCTGCTATACCATGTTGAATTTGCAATAAAAGAAATGGAAAAAAAAAACAGATCAATACAGCATATAAATGATTCTGCAATCGTGTTTATATTCATGGAGGGTAAACCAGTATTGCATCCATGAGGGATTACTCTGGTTTATATAGAGTTACAATTATATTTTTTTACGAAACAAATCTCTCTATAATAATAATCCCACAAAAAAAAAACTCAAAAAACCTAATGTCGTGTAGTTTACAAGATAAGTAAGTCAATATCTTGTTTTTATAACTAGTAATATGGGGACCAATTAAAAGAGGGGGCAGAAATCCACCCCTTTTTTCGAGAGAGAATGTGTGTACCTAGTCTCAAAAAAGGTGGAGAGAGAGAGCTGGGTAGCAAGAGAAAGAAGGACATGGGTACTTGCCTCAACACGTGGTTGAGGCCAAGTAACTCACGAGAGTTCGAATCGATTCATCGGAGTCTTGATCTCTATTAGAATCTATTTTAAAAAACATGTTCAAATCATTTTACTTCAATAAAAAACATGACAATATATAATTTGAAATTTCATTTTAAAATAGTGAAATTTATCCAAATACCCATGACAGATAAGTTATCCAACATTGTACCCATATGTTTTGAGAATTTCAATGTCCATCAAGTGACACATGATCCTAGCTTGGAATAGTCGCAAAAAGGTAAAATGCCTAACAATTCATCTCTTATGGGTTTTTTGGGAAAAATATTCCTTTAGATTATGCTAGCATAACAAAAATTGGCAATTTCAAAATCTTTGCAAAAATTTTAAGCAACGATGATTTTTTTCATTGGCTCTCTCCCAATTTGTTTGATTTTAAAATGAGAAAACAATTGATTTTAAAAGCAAAAGTCAAGGATTTGATTCAAAATAAAAAATCAAGTTCACAAAAGTGAGAAAACTCCAAATTTCAGTATCCTGATCTTCATGACAATGAGAAGTTATTTGTTTTTATAGGATACTTAGGTCATGTTTCTTAACTGTGAAAACAAGAGAAAACGACATTTTTTTCTCAATTACCGTATCTTCTCATGTTTGGGAACGGAGAAAGCATGGAACTGTGGAGCCCTGCAGTTCTGGCGTTTACACGCTTTTCCTTATTTTTGGAGAAAATTGCAGCTCATCTCTTGGGGTTGTGCTGCCAATTTCTCATGAAAAAGGGGGAAATGCGAGACCCCTTTGTCCCTCTCTTTTTTCTCTTATTTCTCTAACTTCACGATCTCTCCCCTCTCAATCTCACTTTCACAAGATCTAGCCCAAGCTTTCTGGTTTTCACAAACAAGGTTCTTAGCTTCCGGCCAGATTTTTCTTATTCTACCATTTTTCATACTTCTAGTTTCTCATAAATTTTCCAAAAAAACATCTTCCTCAGTTACTAAACATACACCTAAGAAACAAGCAAAAATGCATGAAACTTCAGGGAAACACATGTAAAATGGGATGGAATGACTAAATTTGGTGAATTGGTTCTCAAAAAGTGGAATTAAAGCCCCCGATATATGAATTTTAAGGAACCGTTCAAATTCTTAAGAGAACAGAAGATTCCTACTTTTGCAGAAATTATTTTTAGCAATTCAATATGAAAAATCCCCCAATTCTGTAAAGGCCAAGCCAGTTTTTTATCTCACGGCAAAATTTGATAGAGAACCTGCATTCATATCCCGTTTTGACTATGATTCACGATCTTTTTTAGCATTGATTGGAATTTGGCATCGGAAGTTACTATTACTTCTCTCTCGAGCGAGACCATGGTAGAGTGAATGAAAAATTTGAAAACCAAACATCAAACATGACCAAGTATCATCCAATCACATTTCAACTTCACACTTCGAGGATAAGCATGGATATTAAGGGAGGCATTTCCCTTATGATTATTATTATAATAATAAGAGGACTTGCCCGAGTTACTCGGCCGAATTCTTTTTCAATACATGAAAGAAGAAAAAAAAAAAAAAAAAAAAAAAATTAGAAAAAGAAATAAATGACAAGAAAAGAAAAGAAAAGAGAAATAGTTTATTATAACGGTTCCATATTGATTGGCATAAATATGCTTCAAGCATTTAACAAAGGGCTAGAGACCCCGGATCATGGGTTAAATGACTCCTTTTTTTTTTTTGATAAACAAGCTAAATGATTCCTCTTTCTAACGCCAAGACAAGTGGTAAATCCCTCACGCGGCAGGATAATTGCAAGATCCATGACCTGCAAAATAATTAACAAAACTATGGATTAGTCAAATCCAAGCTTCGGATAGGGATTGGAAAAAAAGTTGTCATGAAATCCTCGAGAATTATGTACTCGTTTAGCTGGTCGATCCGATTAAAAACAACCGAAAACATGTCAAACATTAGTGGATTTCAATTAAATTTCATTTTGACCATGAACCTGATTAACCAAGACACCAATCCGCGGTCTAATTGGTCAAACCACCATTTCGGCCATGTCTTTATAACTATGAGATTTTCAGCCAAATCTAAGTTGTCTTGATAACTATGAAATTTTCAGCCAAATCTAAGCAATTCACAGAGTATCCAGTTCAAAATTCAGTAAATAGATCCAAATTTGAGGCCAAAATTTCCGAGGCAAAATCCTAAACTCAACAAACCCAAGCTAATTAATAATAGAGAAATGAATTTGAATAGAAAAGGCCAATTTGGATGCAAAATACCAATAGAATTGCTCCATGCAAATACTGATAAATTCAACATACCAGCTTCACTAATAGTAGTAGGATAGAGATTTGAGAACTCACTTGGATCAACAGCAGTTTGCTCCGCGAGTCCATCAAAATAGCACGTCCCACCGCTCTTCCTAAACCTTTGCCAATAAGCATTGAAAGCATATGAAGCATGCCCCACAATCGTATTCGGCTCATAACACTCCCTCCCACTTTTTATGGCATCGCACGTCCCATTCCCCTGCGCACACGCATGGTCCAGCGCCGGACCAACTGCGCTCACATTTGCACCATGCACCACAACGCACCATATCTTCCCTTTGAACTCCTCATTATTCACAGGCTCAGGCAATGGCTCGTACTCAGAATCAAGCTTTCGGCCATTTAAGTCGATTTCGAAAACCCTAGAGCCATTAGGGTACAGTAACCCCCAGTGTCTCTCAGTACCTCGTCCTGGTTTTTGGTCCTCATTGTAGAGGCTGAAAATGTAGGTGAACATGGTTTGGTTGGGGCGCATTGGTGTGCCTTCTCTGCTGGTTAGTTTCCTAATCAGGTTCCGGTTGTAATGAGCCGCGTTGTATATGTTGGCCCCAATTTGGTCGACGTCGCCTGCGTTTGGCCATCCAGTTTCGGCGATCGTTATGCGGATTCTGGGGTAGCCGAGTTTCGCCATGGCTGAGACGATGGCGTCGACCATTTGGTCCAGTAGGTTTCTATACACGAGCCCACTGTTTGGGTCCCTGCAAGCAAGGAAAGTGTTCTTCATCAAAAACAACACTTCGCGCGTGTTTGATTGGCAGAAACGTTTTCTTTAAGAAAGAAAACTTTCTAATTTTGTAGAAGTTCCGTCTTTTGGTAGTGCTAGAACTTCCACAGTAGGGAGTGTTTATTTTATTGGAAGACACAGATTTAGAGATCGTGTCTTAGAGAGAAGTATATACCACAACTTCCATGGTCATCAATGGAACTTGTGGTATCTACTCTTCAAATTTAAATATAAAGTAGGGGAATAATTTTATGTAACAGTTGTATAGTAGTATAATGCAACCATCTTCAAATATCGTTGTTAGAGACATTTGTTTGACATAAATTTTTAAATATATACTATTTTCATTCTGAAGAACAATCACAAAAAATAAAATTTTGCAAAAATGCTCTAGAAAGTTTTCATTCTAGCCCAATTAATATAGGGAAAAGTTTATATAGAGCCGAGGCTCTAAACAATCAAATTTTCACTAGAAAAGGTTGTTTTGATGTCCAAATATCTTTAAATTGATCATCTCGACATCAAAAAGCATAGGCATGAGAAAAAAATAGATTTCAAGTTTTGGAAATAGTGTCTTTTGTAACACATTTTTGGACCGTCAATTTTCAAGATTTTCAAGTTTTCATATATCTATTGATCAACACTATTTTTTAAGCTTTAAACTTTATAAATAAATATAAAAAGATATTTTAAGTTATCACAAAGATTTCTAATATTGAAACCACATTTCTCAATATCATTTGACGGTAGGTTCTGATTTGATTGCTTAGAGCCTAGGCTCTATACAAACTGCACCCATTAATATAAGCTATCCATTTTATTGAGATGGTTAAATATAGGCCTCATAAGGATTATTTTATTCTCAAAATTTTTATATAGCGTTATCATCATTACATTAATAATGCTAAAAAAGAAAAAAGTGATTTTGAATTTGTTAAGGCCTAGATCTTGAAATTCACCAAATGGATGGTTGAGATTCATTGTTGGATAAGTACTAATTTTGACCAAATCTAGGGTGCAAATTGAATTTTTTTTTTCCCCTAAGATTGATTATGAGGATGAAGAGAAATATGCGTGCAAATTTTGGAGAAATGTCAAAAATATGATTTTCTAGATGTATGGTTGCATTATACTACTATACACCCGTTGCATTAGATCATTTCCCTATAAAGTAAATTAATACCGCACTATCCATTTTAGTATAGCACTTCCCCGATATCAAACATGGAAGTGCTATAGTACATAAAAATTAAATTTCCGAAAAACAAACATGCCCTAGCTATTCACTATCTAACGAAAAAGAATTGTTACTTGTAAGTGAAGGTCTGGTTCATGAACAAGGTATAGTTAAGATCAATGGAACCAAGATTATCTGCCCAAGTTAAGTAAGGATAGGCGTCCAAAAAGAAGAAAGACTTAGTCTTCTTCAGGAATTGAAGAAGCGGCCTCATAACCGTCTCTGCGATATCATCTCTAAATGCACCACTCGAAGGTGGAAAAGAAGCTTTGAGCACATCCATGGCGAGAGGCGTGCCCACTTTGATGTTATGAATCCCAAGGGCTCGCAACGACCTCTTTATGTTTTGCATGGCTGGAACCAACATGGTCCAAGTGGGCTCGATGGATGAGTCCGAGAGGACCTCGTTCCCTACCAAGATGGTTCGGATCCTGGTGAGGGGGTAGAAGGGAAGGATGTTTGTTTTGACCCATGAATCTGAAGCTTCTTGAGTGGCAGAGATGTTTTGAATTGCTTGGTTTGGGAGCATCACAGAAACTTGGATTTTGGTGTTGGTGAGGGCATGAAGGATTTGGGGGTTGGTGTCATATATTTTGATGCGGGAGACTTTGATGAGGGTCTGGATGAGATTGATGGATTGTAAGGGGGAGGACAGGTTGCTGCCGAGCTGCCCGTAGTTGATGCCGATGGGAAACCCACCTGAAATTTGGAGAGAAATGAAGTGAAAATAGAGAGAGAAAGTAAGTAGTTGAAGGCCAAAAAAATAGGCTTTAGAGAGAATCATGGTCAGTTTGGATTACTCGGGCGAGTCAACTCAGACTCGTCAGATAAACATGGCTCGCCAGTATCAAAGCTCCGGGATAATAATAAAAAATTTCAAAAAATTAGAAAAAATCAAAAAAATAAGAAATTTATTTGTAAGACACGGTTTATATGAGTTCATGTAGAAATGAGTCGACTCTTAAAAAACATTTTTGAGATGGATTTTCGGACCCAATGTTTAAAGACATGTAGTCTCTAACATGGAGATCATGAATATAAAAATAAATAAATAAATGTTAATAAATAAAAATAATGATTTTATGAAAAAAACATTTGGACTGTTAATTTCAATTGGTTTTAGATGGACTACCTATTTGCATCCATCTTTCATAGGAATGCTTTATACCTTGGGACAACATATTGTAGAAATGCAGTCCGGCCTGCATGAAATAATTTTCCTTATTTGTAATATGTTTATTTGTGTTTTCTATAGTTTTGGCAAAGATTGGAAAGTGTGGCCATGAATTCTTACTTTTACATTTTTTATTTTTTTATTTTTTAGATTATTTCTTAAATGCCCCAATCACAAATTGATTTTTTTAAAATCTATTTCTTTTTTCTACTTTTTCAACTTCATTTTTATGTGTTTTGTTTCAAGAATTGTCTACAAATAGATCATTTATCTTTATTACAAGGAGATTACAACTATTTCGACTCATTAGATGTCAAATAGGATGGCTTGGGGTGAGTCACAAAGTGAGAATTTGTTTTTGGAACTTTGTATCTAGAAACACTTTTACAACCACCCATTTTGAAGTTTAAAGAACAAAAATGATTGTGACCTCATTGTACAAAAAATAAAGGGAAAGTTTTATATGGAGCCAAGGCTCTAAACAATCAAATTAGAGCCTACCTCAAAAACTTCACTAGAAGAGATTATTTTGATGCCCAAATATCGACATCAAGATGCATGGACATGAAAAAAAAAATGGATTTCAAGTTTTAGAAATAGTGTATTTTGTAGTGCATTTTTGGACCATCAATTATCAAGATTTTCAAATTTTCATAGATATGTCGATCTACACTATTTTTGAAGCTTTAAATTTTATAAATAAATACGAAAATATATTTTAAAGCTATCACAAAGATTTCCAATGTTGAAATCAAATTTCTCGACACTATTTGAAGGTAGGCTCTAATTTGATTGTTTAAGGCCTAGGCTCTATACAAACCGCACCCAAAAGTAAATGGTCCCTTTTTGTATACAATCCCTTTGTTTAATTCTACTTTTGAACATTTTTTTTGGGTTTGGGTGTGATTTTTATATGGTTACAACCTTAAACAATACAATTAAGGTGCGCCTCCAAATTTTATCATAGCAATGTAATTTTGGTATAAAAAGTTCTTAGGATTATCTTAAGATCTATTTTCATATCTAATTATAAAATTTTAAACTCTAAAAATGGTTAAAATCAAGTAGATATATAAATATATGAAAAATCTTGGAAATAGATGGTCTAGATAATGTGTTGCAAGATGCACTATTTCTGGGACTCAAAATCTCTATTTTTTGTTTTCATATTCATCCATCTCGATGTCGAGAACTCAAAATGATAAATTAGAGGGTTTTTCAACATTAAAACAATATTTTCCAATAGATTTTTGAGGAGCATTTTAATTCTACATTTTGAGGTTGCAACCTTATATAAACTTTTTCCTTCGGGTTTTTTTGTATGCTTTTTATTTTTCTATTTTTTTTTTTTTTAACTTTTTGACCTAGCCGGACCCTGCCCTACTCCGGCCGAGTAACTTGAAACTCGGCTACTTGGGCTAGGCCCATGGCTGAGTTCTGTCCCCGAGTCGTGGTTTCTAACACTGATCATGGTAGTAAATGGAGGGGAGAAAGGAAAGGAGTTTATCGCAGAGAGAGAGAGAGAGTACCGCAAGAACTCATGATAGTTAAGAGGAGAAGCACCACTCCCAGCTTCATCTTGCTCGCAGACCTTTCTTCAGCTTTAGATCGAAATTGAGGAAACAATGGTTGATTTCAAGAGACTGAGAAATAGCTATTAAATGTAATGGACTAAGAAAGAAGTCTCACAGGTGTGCAACTCATTCAGCGAGAGAGAGAGAGAAAAATTAATGGTGTTTGGGAGGCAAGAATGAATTGGGAGACACGCCGATAAGGAGGCCAATTTCAAGCTTGTTTGATGCTCACCAAGAAGCTTGGAGAGATATAAATAGGCCTCCACATTTGGAGAATGCATTAAATGTATGGTCATGGGGTTTGCATGCTGCTAAATTTAGCTGCCTTTCTCAACTTAAAAAATGTGCCATTGCTTGATTCATTCCCCTTAGGGGTGATATTCAATAGATAAAAAGAGAGGCTGGTAAAAGCATGAATCCTTAGAAAAGGCGAGGTCACTCAAAGAGTGCATGTTTATGTAATGCTTCAAGGTTGGGCCTTCTCGTGCTGAAGTATTTCTAAAGATTGCAGTCGTTTAGAAATAGGTAAAGGAAGGGCAATGAAAATGAGAAGCTTCCTCATTGAGGACATCACAAACCAGTTCTTGTTTTCCCGTTGGAACTACTTCAAGCTCCCTTATATTTTTGTTGACATGATGAAAATTCTTAATGCATGAGAACTTATAATTTGCTCATTATGGCCTTGTTTGATTATCTAGAAATGGGTCTGTGGAGGCCTATTTATATGGAAACGGCAGTAAATGTTGTTTGGATGTCCTGTCAGGACGGGGGTACCATTTTTGTAAGAAGACCGCTTTGTGGAAATGTCAATTCAGCAAAAACAAGTGGAATTAACATTTTGGAGATTGAAAGATAGCTACGTGCCCTAATAAATTATATTTTATAGAGTGGATTGAGATCTGCCCAAAACAGGCCCTCAAATCCTAGAGCAGTAACCATTATAATTGTTAATATATATATATATATATAAACACACCTCTAAATTTTGTTATAACATGTAATTTTGGTATAAAACATTTTTAGGATTATCTAAAAACCTATTTTCATCATTAATTATAAAATTTTAAACTCTAAAAAGAGTTAAAATTAAGTAGATCTATAAACACATGAAAATCTTGAAAATGGACAGTCTAGATAATGTGTTGCAAGATGCACTACTTTTGGGAGTCAAAATATTCTTTTTTTTCTTCATATTCATACATCTCGATGTCGAGATGATCAATCATAGGGTTTTCAACATTAAAACAACCTTTTCTAATGGATTTTTGAGGTGCATCTTTAATTCTACATTTTAAGGTTACAGCCTTCTTCTTCTTTTTCATATAGATATGAGTAATAAATAACATATTATATTTAATTAATATTATATGATATTATCTTATAATATTTTAATGTATATAATACTAATATATAATAATATTATTTACGCTCTGATCCACGTCGATCTTGGGAACGAGATCTGCTCAAATCTTAGCAAAACCTTTTAGTTAAACTTGTGAAAGATAGAGATAGTGTGGTCGCTCAAATTATGAGCCCAAGAATTGTACAAATCTATTCAGATATGATCCTTTCTTGAGTCCACTGGCAGCACCACCGTTCAGATCTGTGTATTTTGTGTTAAAAACTTTATAAACCAATAAATAACAGAACATACAGAAAATAAAACTAAATTAAATGGAAAAATTAACTAAAATTGAAGAAAGGGAGGGAACTTACTACTGGGGATGCGGAACCCAAAGTATCAGGCTTGGATTAGACCGCACTTTTGATTTGCGTCACCATCTCCTTTTAGATGCCTATGCTTGTTAGAATCAATAGATATAAAGTATTTTTACCTAGATCTAAGGTTTCTAAGGCCGGGGGAAAAGTTCGGTAATTATTTGGTAGTGTCTACCTAGGTTGTTTTAGGGTTTAGGAGGGTTTTTCCCTAGTTTTCTAAGGTATGTGGAGACTCCTAAGATTAAATCTGAATATTGGGATTTTCGGAGATTTTTTGGGATTTTTCCTAATTGTTTTGAAATTTTCTAAGGGTCAAATTTTATGTTATTGTTTGGGCTTTTTTCCAATTCTAGGAATTTCTTAGAATTTATTCATCTCTCTTTATGGTTCTAGAGGGGGTATTTATCGAGCTCAATTTGTGATTTTTTTTATTTTTTTTGGAAATTTTCAAGTTTATCTAGAATTTTTTGTCTTTATCATCAAGAAAATGCATTTTTACTGCATCATCATGCTTGAATGTTGTAATGGGCTTTGGAGGCATGCTCCACACGCCACGTGTCGGTTGGATAAGGGAGTGATGCTCTAGTTTTCAGTAGTTGCTCTAGTTTGCCTAGGGGTCGAGGAAGTGGTAGTCATAGTGTTGACTCCAAGTAAAAGCCATGAAAATTGTCGTTCTAACGGATCTTCCTCTAAGGGAGATTCAATTATGACTTTCGGTTCCAAAAGAGATTCAGTCTTTGCATGGTCCAGGCCCTGAATTCCTCCAAGAATGAAGCCGAAATTCTAAGAAGGCTTGAGTTTGCATTGAAGTTTAGAAACTGTGTAACCCAACCCTTTTCGGTTCTTGGTGTCTACTTTGGCTTGAGGGGGATGAGTGATTGCCTTGCAAAACCTTGCCCGTTTTTTTCGAGGCCAGAGCCTAGGCAGAACCCCCATGCCGTGTACGAACCTAAATCGTAACGAGCACAAAAATCTTTCAGTTTCTTAAACAATTTGTAGTGATCAATTGTCAAGGGAGATGATTCTTTTTGTGCTATATGGATCATGGTGCAATTCTCTTTATATGTCAGAAGCAGGATCTCTCAGATTTTCAAATTTCCAGAGAACTCCTCTTTTGTCACTTTGATAGCATCTGAACGTACTCGAGCCACACTTCAGAGGTTGAGAATTTCAAGCATTGGTGCAAAGTGGAAGCCACGACAAGATTTTCATGTAGCCATGGTCTACCAATGAGTAGGTTAAAGTTGTCAATGACATAGAACCTCACAATTTGGACCACTGGTCCAATCTTAAGAATGCGAGGGATGATCCCTAAGGTTTCTCTTTGAGCTCCATCATAGGCTGCAACTAAGATGTTTGAAGCCTCAAGGTCTGTTTGAAATAACCCTACTCTTAGAATAGTTTTCAAATGGCAGATATTCAGAGATGCCCTATTGTCAACTATCACTCTCCTTATTTCATATCTACTCATTCAAATGGTGATATAAAGTGAATGAGTGTGGAAGCAGTTGAACACTGGGGGTATATCATCATCGGTGAATGTGATAGGGGTTGGTGTCATTAAGAGGTTGATCATACTTCTCAGTTCTTCAGGTCTAGTGTGGGTAGGAACATGAGTCTCTCTCAATATTTCCTCGATTTGGGCCAGTTGTATAGGCGAATTATTTAGAAAATCCATGATAGAAATGGATGTTGGAATCTTATTGAGATGAGCTGGCAAGTTGTACTGTGTGGGAGGATCGGCTGTGTTTGTTTCTTATCCATTTATTATTTCATTTGGCACAGTGGGGGTTTGGTCGGCTTTAGGAGGTTCCAATCCTCTCTTCTAAAGTGTCGACCATCAATCAAGGTGGCTTGAAGTGGCTTCTTCTCCTCGTGAGGTGGTCAACCTCTTGAGGGTTTTTCTTAGCTACAATGATGATGCCTGGTCTAAAGTCTCTTGGATTTTCAGCTTTTTTGTCTTATGATGGGGTGTAGTCCCGGTTAATTGAAATCATGTTTATGCATGGATCTCAGTCGACTACAGCTCCCTAGCTTTTGAAGATGATGTGATCCCAAGGTGAAATAGGGAGGTTCTCTCGAGTATCCTTATGGATTTGAATTTCACAATCTACCTTGAGTGGCTTATCCTCAATCATGATGACAACTGGGCTTTGTTCGGCTTCCCTAGGGGGTCCAATTTCAACTTTCTTGCCATTATCCGAGAGCAGATTGGGAAATGTCCTCATCTTTTGATTATAGGCCTCCACGGGTGCATCGGTGGGAGTATGGTTGATAGTACCCATATCTAGTAGTTCTTGGATAATGCGTTTAAGTGATTAACAGTCTTCAGTGCTATGGGTGTGATTTCTATGGTATCCACACCATTTGAACTTGTCCTTAACTTCATACTTCAGTTGAACAACGTTTGGAAGAACAATCAACCCTAGTTGCAGTATCTTTGTTAATATTGTTGAGAGAGGTTTCTGTAATGGTGGAAGGTTAACTTCTGGAAAGGCCTCTTGTTTCCAATGTTTCCATCATTATTGAAGTTGAATTGGTTCTACCAGTGCTCCTAGGCTGATTATTTATCTTTGGAGCTTGGGGTAGAACTAGTGCCACGATGATTTGGCCTACCTGGGCAACAATATTGTTCTTCTTGTTGTTATTGTTATAATTGTCCCTTGGTTTGGCTTGTGATGGTAGATCCACTGTCAGGTTTTCAGATTTTGCACTAGTGGCAACGACCTTAAACCTTTCTTTGAAGGCAACTTGATCTATCATTTGATGGAATGAGAAAGGTCGCAGCTCATGACTGAAGAAATTCATGAATTTTGATAGGGAATTCTTAAGGCCCATACTCATCGGAGAGGTCTCGGGCAGTACTTAATCAATGACCTTTGATGTGGATTTCTAGAATCGATTAGCAAAGACAGGGAAAGACTCGCCAATGTTTTGTTTGGTCGCAACCAACTCCCTAAGGGTTATTGGTTGTTGCTTGCTCCCTTGATATTGTTCGACGAATTGCCAGAACAATTCATCAAGAGTCCGCTCTGGGTACTTGGAGATTACTTCTCGGAACCACATTAAAGGTGGTCCAAAAAGAGTGTATTGACACATCGCCTTTAGACGACCTTGTTTGTCTTCTAATGCTGGAATAGTCAACAGGTAAGCAGTGATGTGATTATCAAGGTCACCCTTCCCACTAAACTTGTTTTCAAACTTCAGGAACAGGAAACCCAAAGGAAAGCGTTCAACATCCCCAAGAACGTCCTTGACATAAGATCGTGGAGGGAGTATATTTGAAACTCTGATCTTAGTCAGAGTCCCTTTAAATGTAGTCAATTCATCTTTCAATTGGGCAAGCTCAACTGATTCAAGGGTTTGTTGGTTGCTCGAAACTGATGGCTTAATTTGTGATGCAGGAGATGCAACTGATATGAGTTGCACTGGACTTGGAGCAGGTTGAGCCAGCAAGATGGCTGGAGCCGCATTACGAACCAACA